CACCATGACTATGGCAACTCTTATAAAGGAAAACACTTAATTGGAGGTAGCCTACAGCTTCAGAGAGTTAGTCCATTACCATGGCAGGGAGCATGAGGCACGCAGGCAGACATGGAGCTGGAGAAGTAGCTGAGAGTTCCAGTCTCGCTCTGCAGGCAGCAGGAGGAGAGGCTCTCAGCTTGGCATGGGGTTTTGAACCCTCAAAGCCCACGCCCAGTGGCAAAGCCACACCTCCTCATCCTTTCAAATAGCGCCACTCCGTGGCTGCCACACCCACACATTCAAATATACCTATGGGGGGGCATTCTCATTCAAACCACCACACCTTCCTACACCTAGAGCTGGCAGGAGGCTGCCTGGCTAATCACAGCACGCCTCTGTGACCTTGGTAGCATAGCCACTGCTATTGGTGACAACACTGTCAATCCGATGCTTGTGTGAACATTCTCTCCCTCCTGGGTTTCTGGTCTTTAATGACTCCTTCAACCTGTTGGCCATGAAGTCTTGGCTCTGAGCTCAAAAGAGCCTTCCTCTTGGTCACAGTCAGTTCCCCTTGCCCCCTTACAGGAAGGATCATGGCAAGGTGCTGAGCTGGAAATGAGAAAAGGGGGGGGGGGGAGCCATGTGGTAACATAGGCTTGAAATGGCACACGCACACTGTTTGAGCTAACTGAGGGGATGCAACCACATTTCCAGCTGTAAAACAAAGCTCAAGCTAGTGTGGAGATTTTTGTTGCTGTGTTTCTCTGCTCTGAAGTGTACGGAGTACCACAAACTAAATGCAGTCATTTAATAAGGGGGGGGGGTAACACATTCTGAGAAACTTGTTAATAGATGACTTGTTATTATGTGCACATGCTAGAGTGTAGTACTACACCAATGTGGATGATACAGCCTCTCTTTACACTGAAGCCATATGTCATAGCCTGTACACCTCGATAGTAATACACCTATGAACAGTGTTCCTGCACTGCTACCACAGGCTCCATTAATACAACAGTCTTTGTCTATGTGCCTGTAGGAAAGGTGTGGTAAAAAAACCAGGCGATGGGAATTTTATTTTTCACATTATTATCTTTTCTTTTTCCCCACTGTAATCTTAGGGAAACTACTATATGCAATTTGTCTCTAACCAGCATATTGCTATGCAGCTCATGACTATATCAGCCTCAGCAATTAAAGTATAATAAGAAATGCTGAGAAAACTCTTGCCTAGGCTTCCCCTCTTAGATATCCTCAAATTTTATTCCTAGCAAATTCTTTATAACCTGAGAACCTAATGGGAGGCGCCATCAGAGGTAAAATTGTGCCGTAATGATGTCGCCACATTCAGTCCTTTTTTCATACAAACTCATTTTAATTCTCCCAGCGAAGCCTCTGAAGAGACGCTGAGGCGAGTCCTCATCTGCTGCAGGGCTGCGACTGTTGGGTTGGGTTTGGTGTTCACTAGTGAGGACATGTGGGCCTGCACCCTCTTTGTAGGAAAGCTCTTTGTTTTTTAATGTGGGAAAATGTACCTAATAGAAAATTAATCTTCTAGTCCTTCCTAAGTGTGTGGTTTCCTGGCATTAAGCATTCATGTTGTAAAAGTATGACCAGCATCCATCTCTGGGACTTTTCATGCTCCCCAAGGGAAACTGTACCTGGTTCTTTGGCCTAATTTGGTGTATCTTGACTTTTTTTATTTGTTTGTTTTGTATTGGCTGTATTGTTTTTATTTGTTTTGTGTTTCATTTGTTGTATTTGTCTGTGGCGGGGGTGGGGTTTGCTTTGGATTTTGAGACATAGTCTCCCTCTGTAGTCCAGGCTGCCCTTGAACCTTTGGCATTTTTCAATTGCCCCCCCCCCAAATGCTAGAATTATAAGCACATAGGCCACCATATCCGGCTAGCTTCCTTTTAAAATTGTATCTGTAAGGTGTGCAGCAAGATGTTTTTATATCATTTCATCTATGTAGTGAAATCTTACTTAGCTACCCTTTGTGTGAGTGTGTGTATGTGTATATGAACATGTGCTTTTTTACATTAAAATTTAGGTTAACATATAAAGTATCGAATCTCATCATGTCATTTTCATACACATGAAGAGCACAAACTCTAAAAATTTGTGCTGTATGTTAGCTCTCTAGATTTGCCCATCCTACATACAGCTTGATGTGGTCTGATATCACTTCATTGACTATGTTCTGACCTGTCCCCATGAGACGTTCTAACTCCCTAGTCTCCCTCTGGCAAGCACTGCTCTGCTTTCCATCACTATGGATTTCATTACTCTAGGAACCTTCTCTAAAAGGAACAGTGCAGCGAGTGTGTGTGTGTGTGTGTGTGTGTGTACAGTGTGTGTGCTTCTGTGGCTGTCCTGTTTCACTTTGCTTAAATGTCTTTAAGGTGCATCTATATTGTTGCCTGTGTCCAACTACTGTGCTGGGTGTTTCTTATTCCCCCTTCAGAGAACATGTCACTGTTTGTCTACTGTGCCACTGGGAATCCGGGCATACAGACATCTTTTCAGGTTCCTCCCTGCTCTCATTCCTTCTGGATATATACCCCAAAATGGAATTGCTGGCTCTGGGTCTAGTTTTTTGGGAAGTTCACTGTACTGTTTCCATAGCAGCTGCATCATTTTACATCCTCTCAGCAGTGTGTGAGTTTTCCATTTCCTCATATCCTTGCCAACACTTGCATTTTCTGATCTATTCTTTACATATATGTGCATGTATATATATGTGTGTGTGTGTTTTAGTCATCATGATTTTTTTATTTAAATTATAGACTCATTATTAAGTTTCAGCCTGCTTAGGGTTTTTTTCTTGTGATATTTTAGAGTTATTATAGGTAAGTTGTTTTTCAAAGTTATGTATCCCATAAATAAATGAATAAGGAATTGTCTATAATATACTTTAGCTTTCCAGTATCTATGAGGTCTTTGGTGGCATCTCAACTTTCATTCCTTTATGTCAGAGAAGTACCATTTTATGCAGTCAGTCAAACAATTCACAAATAGCAGTCCTGCTTCTGGAAGCTTGCAGTTTCATTTGAATACATTAAAATTATGTATTTAAAAGATTTTCTATATTTCTACTAGATTTATTAGATATTTATCTAACTAAGGAGATTAAACAGTAATGTAGCACCAGATGTGGCTATTAAATATGATGAAGAAACAAAAGAAATAGATGTCTGTGTGGTTAATTAAAGAAGTAGCTGCCTAAACAAGGAAAAAATGGTCACATGCTTAGGCCCTGGCCATGCTGAGCTGTGTCCACCGTCCAGCAGCCTTCAAAACGCAGTCCTGACATTTTGTTCACAGGCAGTCTGGTTGTGTCTTTTTGACTGTGGTACATTACAGTGAGAGAAAGTTTGCTTTCCTTTCCTTTTTTGGACAGTGATTAGTATCACATGATCATTTGAAGGGCTGGATTCTGTTTGCACCGTATTACATTTCTGAGCATGAATTGCCTGTCTATGTGAGTGCAATCAGTTTCTGCTCTTCAGCATGAACACCGTATGAGTATATTTAATGTGGAAAGGTCTAAAGATAGTTTTGTAGGTAGAGTTCTGTTGGTGTTGTGTTGGGTACTGACTGTAGAAAGAACAAAGACACATCAGGATAAAGGCAGGCGTAGCTGCATCCAGGAGAAGGGACTAACCAGGAGCTGGGGCAGGCAGTGCTGGAGCCTTTTTATGCCTGAGTAAGCTCTTCTTTTATTAAAACCCCACAGGAAAAACCTTGAATTTTCTTGTGAAATCATAGTGAGATGTTTTTGAGACATTCTTAAGTGTGTTTTGAGCAAGGTAGTAAAGGGTGTTCACTGCATCGTGTTTTTATGTCTTCTAGCACCTCTGATAGCCCTTGATTCCTGCTCCATCCATGTCACCTAGAGCCAGTTTCTCCCGACTGGTTACAGCAGTAGACTGAGTGCCGTGAGGAACAGCAGAACCATTGACACTGGAAGCTTCCTTTGAACACTTTTCCTTAAAGACTTGAGAGTGACATGTTTACCAGAACATATTTACAATGCAATAACCTTTAAAGTTTAGATTACCAACATCAGCTTCAACTAATGATTCTTCTCTCGAGCTAGAACTGAAACACATGTGTTGTATGGGGAAATATATTTGCAACAGTACACTGACTATTCAAAGTCTACATGTACCTCCTACTGATCCAGGATCCCAGAAGGTTTCCCATTCCATAGTATCTCTGTGATCTCTTTTTTCAGAAGTAGTCTGTAGAGAACTTTTTCTTTGATTAAACCTATTCCTAAATATTTAATCTGGGGATGGAGATGCATTTTGAATCTTTTTCCTAACTTCTTTCTCTGAGAGTATGTTTTGTTATAGATGGAATCTATCCTGCAACTTTATGTAGGTATTTATTGGGTTTGGAGTTTTCCAGAGGACCCAATAGTGTCTTTTAAGTAAAGAGCCATGTCTGCTGGCAAGATAGTTTGACTTCTTCCTTTCCTATTTTTCATCTGCTTTACGTCTTTGTCTTGTCTAACTGCCACAGCTCAAACTTTGAGCACTCTATCAAATTGTCCCATTCCTGATTTTAGTGGAAATGGTCTCAGCTTGTCCCTGTTTACTGTAATATTGGCTATAGATTTGTTGTGTATGGCTTTATTGTTGCTTCTATTCCTAAAGTCTCCAGAACTTTTCTCATAAACACATGTTGGAAATTATCAAATGCCTTTTGAATTGTCAAATGCATTAACTGGATTATGTAGAATATATAAATATATTTATATGCTGTATTACCTTTATATATTTATATATGTTGACCCAACCTTTCCTTTCAGGGATGAAGCTTACTTGTTCATAATATATAATCTTATGTCCCTAAATTTGGTTTGCAGTTATTTTATGGAGAATTTTTACATATATATTCATCAAAGAAATTCATCTGTACCTTTCTTTTTCTGTTGTGTCTTTGCCTGGTTTTGGCAAACTATTTTAATACTTGTCAAGTAGTTAATTAACTGTTTGTGATGTTTGCAGGTCCTGTTTAGGATGAATGTGATTTGGAGAAATTACATTTGCCGTCTGAGACAAGGGAAGGTGTCACACAGATGCCAGAGTGGCATCCACCCTGTTGCCCCTCTGGGGTCAAGGATTTTAACTGACCCCGCCAAAGTTTATGAACACAACATGTGGTGAGTTTTCCCCTAATATTCATTTATGTATTTGTGAAGCACGTGCCACAGAGCACATATGAAGGCCAGAGAACAAATTTCGGGAATCTTTTCTCTTCATTCCACCATGTGGGTCCTAAAGAACCAACTCAGATCATCAGGCTGAGCAGCAAGATGTGGTAACCCACTGAATTTTACCATTGAACCATCTTACTGCCCAGATTTTACCTTTAAATTTGATATTATATATACTCATAAGGTATCTTTTTCCCATTATGACCAAGGATTGATTATTTATTTATTTATTTATTTATTTTTTAAAGACAGACGCTTCTTTGTAGTCCTGGCTGTCCTAGAACTCACTATATAGACCAGGCTGGTCTCTAACTCCTGAGTGTTGGGACTAAAAGGCTTATACCACCACACACTGTGAGAAAGGATTTTTTTTTTAAGTTGATGATATTGAGTTAGGTTGTAGAAGTCCAAAAGCCTGTGTAACCAACACTGACTTACATGTTCTGAACTTTTTTGAAAGTAGAATTGAAAAATGGAGTTCCCTAGTACATCCAGCAGCCTTGGTATCCTTGATACCAAGGTCCTGATCCTGACTGGCCAGGCTACCATCAGGTGATGGGGCGAGGGACAACAGTCTCTTCTCTAAGTGGGGGCCTTCCTCTTTGTGGGCCTGTTGATTGAACTTGTCATCTCCAGCCTCAGCCTCTTTCGTAGCTAGCTTGTGTTACAGGCTTTATCCAGTGGGCTAGACCTCCTCCTGCCCCACAGGCGTTTGTCATGTGCACATTCTGTACCCTCTGCTTTTCAGTGGGACCTTATCTCATGCTTTGAAGAAATCCCTGTTATTTGGGAAGATAGATGTTTATTAAAGGAAAAAAAATTCAACATGGAGCCTCAAGTTCAAAGGGCAGAGTGTTATAGGCCATTTGCCATATCAAAAAACAACTCAGTCATGAAAAACTACTTCCAGTGTGGATATCAGAAAGGAACGTTGTTGTTTCAAGGCAGTTTCCTGTATCTCCAGCAGGCCTTGGGCTCACTCTGCAGCAGAGGAGGATGTGACCTTGACCCGTTGACCTTCTTGTTCCCTCCTCTCAAGAATTGGGATTACAGGGTGAGCCACAGGTACAGCCCAGCTAGGAAGATTTTGTAAATTGGGAACATCTAAAATTAGGGTTTTTTATTTTGCCATCAGTACTTGGAGACAGTGCCTAACACAAAAGTATTTGTTGAGAGCCAAGTGTGGTGGTACAAGTCTTTAATCCTAGCACTCGGGAGGTAGAGGCAAATGGACCTCTGAGGCAAGCCTGCTCTATATAGCAAGTACTAGGCTAGCTAGAGCTAGAATGAGGCCATCTCTACCCCCCAAACTACCACCCACCCCACCAAAAGGTTTTGTTGGTACTTATTAGCATAGCTGGAGTAAGAGCATCCTTGCTGAGTACAAACGTAAAACAGCACAGATGAGGATATAGAAGGCATTTTCCGGAAATGGTAAATAATATTTTCGCTTGTTTTTGTTTTGGGGTATTCTTTGGATCTTCAGGATATCTGTGAAAGATAAGGTTGGAATGGCAGAGGACAGAGGTAGGGTGAGAACAAGTTTTCTTTTGGTGCCAGAGCCGCAGCTGATATTCAGGCATTAGAATCACTAAGGAGGAATGACATTGTAGAGACTGGATTTGCTGACAGTACCCTGGATAGATTAGCAGCAGCAAAGGGCCAGTGAGAAACACTATGAAGGAAGAATAAAGAGAAATTGGCAGAATAAAGGAAATGGAGGTATTTGGTTTTGAAGTTTTGAACTTAGGTCGATGAATGCCATGGCTCACCGGCCATTGAGAGAGACCTTATTTCAAAAAGCAAGATGAATGACCCTTAGTAATGACAGCTCAGTTTGTCCTTTGGGCTCCACAAGTGCATGTATTCATTCTCTCTCTCTCTATCTCTCTCTCTCTCTCTCTCTTGCTCTCTTACTCTCTCGCTCTCTTGCTCTCTCTCGCTCATGCACACACGTGTGCGCACTTACACAGATTGCTATAAGAGCTTGAAAAGTTAGCACAAAATAAACGGTAAATTATCTCAAGTTTTATATTGAATTTTGTTTTAAACTGATTAACATGTTGGATATTTTTGAGTTAAACGGAAAAACTTATTTAAAAGATTTTTTAACCTGTTTTGTTTATTTTGTTCTGTTTTTCTGAGACTAGGTTTCCTTATGTAGAGCTAGTTGGTCACAAACTCCAAATCCTCCTGCCTCAGCCTCCCCAGTGCTGGAATTACAAGTTTCTTTTTACTTACAGGCTCTTTTTGTTTTTGATTTTGGTTTTTGGTTTTTTCATTTAATTTTATTCAGGAAGGTGAGATAGGTTTTCAAATTATAACCCAAACTGTCCTAGAACTGACTGTGTAGCCCTTGCTGGCCTCAAACTCATGAGCAATCTTCCTGCCTCAGCCTTCTGAGTAACAAGGTTACAGTGTGAGCCATACACATAACTTTTTTCACTTAAAAAAATACATTAAGTAGAAAACTTGAAATTCATATTATATTTCTTTACAATTTACAAAAGACAAATTAAACTGCCTTGACTGTCATTTTCGATGTCTGGTACTGTAGGCTTGGAGAACACCAATGCTTTGCTAGACCATGAAAGCTCCAGAGGAGATCCCGGGTGGCAAGTGCATGGTTTTCCCAAGTCCCCAACCACTCCATACACTGTCTGTCCTCCTTGCATCTGCTGCACAGGATTCTTGCTCCCTGCCCTTTACATTCTGCCTCATCAAGGACTCTGGAAATCCATCATCATTTGGTCCCGGAGGGCTTGGGCTTTGAAGGACTGGAGAGTTCTGTTTCTCTCAGCCACAGAGGTGGTCTGGGGTTTTCCACATGAAAAGCATCTAGGAATGCTATCAGCAGCTTGGGGTAGCAGCTCTAAATCTTGTCCAGTGCCTGGACGACTCGCCCTCTGCAAGAGAACCTTATTCAAGTGACATTTAAACATGACATTTCAATATTTAAAAGGTGAAAACACAGGCATGGTGATACACTTGCATAATCCTAGCACAGTAGAGGCTGAGACATGTGGCTTGCTGGGAATTAAAGGCCAGCCTGGGCTACCTTATCTCAAAAAAACAGCCCAAACAAACTCGAGGTGGATGGATGGTTGGACGAAGTAGACAGACCTAGGACATCTGTGGCTCCCCTCCTCTTCTCCTCCACTTCTCACACGCTCTGGGAGTCACGAAGCTGCTTGGGGATCATGTCTGGATGGCTTTCTTTTTCCATAGTGGGGGTCCAGGCTGCACTGGGGTACCTGTGACAGCAGTAAGAATGGCCTGTCCCAAGGAGCAATGAAGGCCACTGCTGCCCTCATCCATCTGCATAGCCTCTGCCGTCTGCTTTCTCCCTTCCTTTCCTTTTTATTTTTAAAGTGTATTAGTGGGCTGGTGAGATGGCTCAATGGGTTAAGACACTTCCCGCCAAGCCTGAATTCAATTGCTGGGACCACTGGAAGAAGGAGAGAATCCACTTCTGCAGGCTGTGTTTTGACTGCTTTACACCACCCTTCTCACAGATTCACACCCGCAAACACACATATACACACACTCACACACATACACTTCATATACACACCACATATACACACCACGCACACATACATTCACATACGACACATACATGCTAATAAGCACATATGCACACACATACATACACTGACACCCACAGGTACACACTTACACTTTATACACACATTTCATACACACACCACATACATACCACACACATACACTTCATACATACCACACACACACACACACCACATGTAACCAGTCAATAAGTGTGACTTTCAGCATTTATTATTGCTACTGTCATTTTGGCCTTTTTGAGACAGGGTCTCACTGTGGAGCCCAGGTCAGCCTCACATGCTGTCTCTGCTTCAGCATCCTGAGTGCCACACTACAGACTGATTAGCACAACTACACTCAACTTGGGTTTTGATTTTCAAAAGATTTATAAGTTTATTCTCTTTTTTCCTGCAAGTCCACAGTTCTATCCAAAATCACTCATTTTCCTCCTTCTTTCAGAATGTGTTTCTTGTTTTGACACATTTGATTTTTTAAAAATGTTTCTAGAAAAATGCAGTTTATTACATGGATCAGCATATGTAGATAGTATATGTACATATAAAATAAGACTGAGGGTAGAATAGTTTTTATCATGTGAGCTGTGTGTGCACCCATGTTTTCTGGTTTATTTGTGTGTTTTTCTCCTGTTTCTATTTCTAAATATTATTCAGACTAGCAAAATTGACTTTATGACTCTCCAAACGGTTATGACCTTTAGTTAAGAAAACACGAAGCTAAGTCATTCTCTGGAGACTCAAGGTAAGGCCTGGATGTTACAACATGACTTGCTACATAAATCATGGGAAAATGGACCATTTCCAGGATCTGTGGATGGCATCAGTTCTTTTTCAGTACGTAATCTTCCTTATGTTATAATTTATTTACTATCTGAGTCCATACTGTGTTCTATCCTTAGATCTCTAGTACAATTAATAATAAATATTTCCTCTAGCATGACTTACCACAAGAGACCCTGTCTAGACATGGAGAATACAGACTCAATGGTTATCTAACTTTGAGAAGCACTTAATCCAGCCCTTGCTCAGTTTTTTAATCTGAGATAGGATAATAATGTAATAACTACCTATCAGATATTGTAAGGATTAAATGATTTTATATATAATGTAAAAACTATTACTGCATGCATAGTAAATAAGAAACATACCACTTAAGGATTAGCTGTCTTATTCGTATTATGATTTATGTAGACTTTATTTATACAGCTGTTTTCATGGTCATTATTAGACTATGATTTTGCAGAGAAGAACTTAGATCTGTTTCATAGGAATAATCTCTGTACAGTGGGTACCCAATAACCATGTTCAGGTAATAAATGCTTGTAGAAATCGGAAGATCCGGTTCCTAACTACCAGAAGTTT